TATTAAATAATAAATGTATGTAGATATTAGCACTTGTAAATATCAATTTTATCCAAAGTATAGTTTGTCTTTATTTAGAAAATATGGATGTTTTGCTTGTTAATTTTCCTGTTGGAAGAGTGTAGATTGACCCTGAGGTTCTGGTGCCACCCCTCAGTGTACATTGGTTATTGCCTGGCCACCCTAATAAACATTTTCTAGCAACACCTCTGCATAAGGCATCTTTCCTGCATATCATCATCTCTGTTATTTCCTCCAACTGAGAGGGACATAGCCTACTACTTGAAATATCTCAGAAAATAGTTAAAAAGTGTGATTTTCGTGGAAAACACGACAAAATGCAAGTTATTTAAAACTAGAACTCACCTCCAAACCATTCAGATGAGATGTTCTGCAACAAAGTGAAAGGTATGCAGAAGAAGGTGATGAGAAGGTCGCTGAAAGCCAGAGAGCAGATGAAGATATCCGTGGCGGTCTGGATCGCGCGCTTCTTCAGCACTATGTAGATGACCAGGCTGTTTCCAGCCAGAGCCAGAACGAAGATCACCACATACATGATGACGAAGGTTGTCTTTGCGCTGTACGGCAGCTCCGGGATGTAAACAAGCGGCTGGATCTTGTAAGTGTTGATGAACTCCTGGCGGCTCAGGTTGTAGAAGCGGAGCATCTCCTGCAGGACTTCGGGGGTAATTTTGGAGGAACCCTGTCCCGAGTCTGTCGCTGTTGCCGCCATGGTTTTTAAAAGTGTCTGTAACTGCGAGGCAAAGTTTGACAGAAGAATAAACCCCCGCAATTCAGAGCTGAGATTTCACCTCCATCCTCCAGGTGCGTCAGGATGTCAGCTGTTTCTGCAGCAGCTGCTTTCCTCTTTCATTCCATGTCACGGTCTCTCTCTCTCTCTCTTTCTCTCTCCACCGTCACTCTCTGGATATTAACTGCACGTTTAGGCTAAGAAAAAAAATAATGAAACTAAAGATTATTATCTGATAATTACCGAAGAGGATTAGGGCCACTGAAAAAAAAAAAAAAAATTAACTGATTTTTAAATTTTAATTCAGTAAATAGGGAAAAAAAGTCATAATTCTGAGAAAAAGGTCAGAATTCTGAGATTACAGTGAGAATTGTGAGATTAAAGTCAGAATTCTGAGATAATAGTCATAATATTGAGATCAAAGTCATAATTCTGAGAAAAAAGTCAGAATTCTGAGATTACAGTGAGAATTGTGAGATTAAAGTCATAAT